GCGCAGAGCTAACAACCGATCACCACCTTGTTCTTGGCACACTACCCTGGGAGAAATGGAGTACTATACGACGATCGACTTGAAGAGGCAACCAGCAAATCAAACAGGAAACATTTTTTCTTCAGATATTGGATCAAAATTTGTAGACAACATCGCATGCGTATTTGGATTTACTGCTTTGAAAGTTCATTGAGGTTCGATATCGCCTGCTGTCAACGCCTGTTCTTCATTCAAAAATGAGAAATTGTCACTTATTTGTTTTCTTTTTATGCAACTTTGGTTGAAAGGCAATCAGCAAGCTTGGAATGAACCTTAAGCATGTACCGGAACCAGGAAACTCACTTAGCAGTTTCGATGACTAATTATCCTTTTGGTTAACGGAGGTAGACGCGTCAGTCAGTCTCGAAAGTTCTCGATCCTACGCCAGCGATTAAACTTCGGCGAAAGATAGCCAGGGTCTGAACCGAACAGAGTCCGTCGAGGCACTTACTGCAGGTCATTCTTGGGCGTTCCCGGAGTGTTTGCTCGGTTGAGAAAGAAACAGAATGTAACTACTCTCGCGTTCAAACTCAAAGCAAATTTTTTAGGTATGAAACGCTTGTTTTAATACAGTGCCTTATGAGATGATCGTGTCACCAAGCATCAGTTCTAGATCTAGCATCACTTTTCCGTTATTTGCAGAAACACGTTATACAAGGGAACGAAGCATTATGAATATCGTTCGTTAAATAGACTTATGTCATATAGTCCTTCTTTAATCCGTTGTCAATCCTTCTTTATCTTCATTGACTTATGGAATTTGTAATTTTACGTTCCTGAGTTGTTCCATTCTTCGCTTAGTACAAAAATAGATTCAGAGATCAAATTATATGCAAGAAACAAGACAGACTGTTTTCATCGATTAACGAAGGGTATTGCAATTAAAAGGACAGAACCACGGTCACCCAATCGAAGATATTGATTTTGCAGCGAGCAGAACCGAAATGTATTACTCTCATGAAAGTGAGTTGCCCAGTGAGTGATGCAACTTACCATACTTACCATAAGTCTTCTAAACTTAAGGATAAATTAGAGTGAGTAAATCTGCTCTTCCCCCTTTGTAGCATCAAAAGAGAAATTTTTTAATGCATGTTGAAAAATTCGTTCCTTAACTGGCGAACGTAACTTGAATATCATCCGTACGGCCCGCCCCAAACCTGACGTGCAAGCGGTAACGGAAGCCCGCACTCATAAAAAAAAAATATCCATGTCCTGCAGGATAGGGAGTCATTTTGATGGCACAACGGACAGCACCGTGCTCGTGTGATTATCCTCGTGTCCCTCGGGATTAACAAAGCAGTTATTCTTACCGAACAGTTGACGACGAGTATCCTGGTCTTCGGAGTGCTAAAATCGCCTATGTCACGACAGTTGTGCCCCGCTGTCAGTTGTCAGCGCCGTATCGCGTTCTGGAGCCCCAATTGCCACAGACAACCTCACCGCGATGGCTAGAGGAGAGTGCATGGCCAGGCGTAATTGGCCATCACGGAAGTGATAAAAAAATGGAGTCTGTTAAGCTTCTGAGTGACATGTACCTTAATAGCGGGCGAAAGTCCATTCCGTCGTAAGTACTTTCTGCACATCGCCTGAACATTCACATGGAAGCCAAAAGACTGGATCACTCCTCATCAGCCGCAAATGGCGGAGCTTGTTTACCCGAGAATAGTATCAGGCATGGTGCCTCAACTGGGTCTGATCACCATAGGGTCGTAGCCAAACCTCAACTTAAATTGACCTTGTCACATCGACGTTTTCTGGTTGAAACTGACCAGCTCATCGATGTAGACAGGTTAAAATCAGACTAAGCTCTAATGAAGGTGGAGAGTTATTACAGTGCCTACTGGAGGTCTGTCTGGAAAGGACAACGTCGACTAAACTTACAAAGACATCAAGTTAGGCGTCATTTCTTCAGAAAGCAAATATCGTTTGGGTCATCAGCAAGGTAGCCAAACTTCTTTGGGATACGCAGCGCAAATTAATCCGTTGAATGCGGAGGAATCAGGCTAAAATGGAGTACTTCGGTTGGGGAACAGTGAACCAAGCAGATCAATGCAACGAGAAACCGTGATTGACGAATACTGTTAAAAGGACAATGACAATTATCTGTGAGCGTCGGACTGTTTCTAAAATTTTAGATCGGTCCCATTTGTACATTAGAAGGAACTCCACCAAACTTAAGCTGAACAATTCAAACAGTTCGTAAACAGATGTCTTCTGTTCGTCCCTCCTGAGTACTAATTCCCTGTCAACACTGGAGCTTTATACAGATATCCGAACAAAGCACAATATCTAAAATGCTTTGTCACACAGCCTCCAGTATGGATTCTATACACCGGCATAATATTAATTTGGAGGAGCAGGAATGGCACAGAAGTTTTACGCTCTCCTTCCTCAAATTAGTATTTGTAAACATATCTTTGGGAATTGAAGATACCGAGTAACTGCTCATAGACTAGACAGGAGGATGGACATCGGGTGTTCGAACTATCGTGGCATCACACTACTGTCAGCTTCCGGTAACTTTTTCCTGGTTCATCCAGTAATGACGAAACAAGCTGCAAATGGTAGACTTTTCCTGTAGCAAGCAGGCTTCTCGACTTCTTCGTCAAAGCAGGTTTCCACTTTTCATAAGATCACTGAGCAATGCCGACGATTGCAGTCGATTTGGTTGGCAATTTTTCTTTCCACTTTAAGGCTTCGCTTGTTTCAACACATCGTCCGACGATATTGAGAGTTTCAAAATGCGATATGGTTCCTGAACACGTCTTTTTCATGTTGGAACTATGTCGTCAGTGAGGTTGAAAGAGTGCCATGTGAGTAATTCGCTATCATCTGTGGAGCTTGTTTTCGCCTTTGCAATTCAGCGTTGTTCCCTTTGGCTTTCTTTACCAAGGCAGAATTGACTCTGTCAAAGACGAAGATCCCATTCTGGAGAAAAATTACAGTTCAAG